ATTCATTTGTTAAGAAATACATTTGGGGTCTGGAGGGATGGCTCAGCCATTAAAGGCTAGGCTCACAACCAAAAATATAAGAAATACATTTGGAATCTTATGTGTTGATTGGGTATTTAAGATGAACAAAGAGCTAATGACACTTTATTTTTTTCTTAAGATAATTCCTGTGGGAATCCACCACATGTGGAAAATGCTACTATGGTATCAAGGCCCAAGGCTAAATATCGAGCCAATGACAGAATACGTTATGAATGTAACAAACCTTTTGAACTATTTGGGGAAGTAGAAGTGATGTGTCAAAATGGGATTTGGACAGAACCACCAAAATGCAAAGGTAAGCCATCATATTTCCAAATGATTTTATTTCTTAGTTTTTTTGAGGCAGGGTTTCTCTATAGCTATCGAGCCTGTCTTAGTCCTAACTCTTGTAGACCAGGTTGGCCCTGAGAACACAGAGATCAACCTGCTTCTTCCTCTTGATTTCTGGGATTAAAGTCATGTACTCCCAAGACCCAGCCCCAAGGCTTATTTAATAAAGTAATTTGTTTATTGTACATTAGTGAAGATAAAGTGAAGATTTTTATGAGAATCATTTTTCTAACTTTTTTCTTTTAATAATGAAAACAGATTTTTTTACTCATACAAAACATTACTACTGCAATATACTACATCCTTCTAACCTCCTCCCAGATCCGTCCCCCAACATATTTGCTGTCCTCCAGATCCACTCCCTCAGCATTTCCCTTCAGAAAGGAACAGGCCTTCAAGAAACAACAGTCAAATGGGACAAAACAAGATAACCCCTCATGTAGAGGCTGTTCAAGGTAACTCAATAGGAAGAAAAGAGTTAGAGAGACATCTATTGACACTGTTAGAGTCTTAGGAAAACACCAAGCTAACAGCCATAACATATATGCAAAGCACCTCCTGTAGACGCATGCAGGCCCCAGGTTTGCTGCCTCAGTCTCAGAGCCATGTGAGCTCTGCTTAGTTGACTCAGTGGACCATGTTCTCCTGGTTCCCTTCATTTATTCTGACTCCTACAATCTTTCCTTTCCTTTTCTTTGGGTTCCCCATTCTCCAAGTGAGGAATCCAATATAGACCACCAATTTAGACAGCTCCTAATATCTGACTGTGGGTCTCTGCACCCACTCTCATCTGCTCTTGGAGGAAGCCTCTTTTATGCTGACTGGTCAAGGAACTGATTCTATTTTCCTGGACTGTCCCTTCTTTGGTTCCTTGTGATTTATGTAGTGTGGGGCAGATGTCCCCTATAGATGGCTCAGTCATTAAATGAAAAGCTCACAAACCAAGATTATAAGAAAGTGAAAATAAAACAATATTGATAAAGTTTAATTCTTTTGGTGAATTTATAGAAGAATTTTGGTGGAAATTTTTCAACAAAGGTTTTATCAGATTTTAGGAACATTGCCACTCAGTATCTATTTATGATTCCCATTTTCCATGTTTTACTTAAAAATTTCTGTAGGATTTCCTGTTACATATCTTCAGCACCATTCGCAAATGCTAGGTTTCATCTCGAATATAAACATAATGTTATAAGCAGAAAGACCATCTAGTATTTTACCAGTTACTTTTACCAGTTATTTTATCCTAAAATTTTAATTGTTATTTCTATTTCTGTGATGAATTCTGCTACTTGTTTTTTTATGAGGAATTCTCTTTTGGAGTTAAATCCTCTTTACTTTCTTTAATTTTAAGTCTTCATTAATGTTAAATTCATTAATTTGAAAGTCTAGTTTCACTGGACATGGAATTCAAGGCTGACACTCATTTCCTTTCACCTCCTATGGCCTCCATGGTGGTAGAGGGAGAGTTACTTTCTTTTGGATCTTGTTCCAGTGTGGCTGGTGATTTAATAAAGTTGTTGTTTCAAGATGTTTTCTTTAAGCAGTTTTAATACATGTATCTTCATGGACTTCATGGGACTTGTACAGTTTGAATTTAATCATCTCTTAAAAATGTACATGCTGCCTTATGGCCAACTTGTTTTCATTTTCCTCCACACTGAAATATTTTGTTTGAATCTGGAACAATATTTTTTGTCTAAACAATGTTAGAATTCAGTTCAGTTTCATGATGCTCTTGTTGTGATCTTACTCAAAAGAACAAAATATTAGTTCTTCATTTCAGTCTTCTCCTGTGACCTCAACAGCACAATCAGAAGTACAGAAGAGAAACAAATATCACATAGCATTGTGCAATTAATTGAGGACTGAATCTCATAACTAGATTCTCAATTTCTTATTTTGTGTACTAAAAATAATATGTACATGAATTCCTGTTGTAACTAGCAAAAGTATAACAAAGAGAAGAGTATACTTACTTTATCTCTACGATGAATCAGGAGAGCCTCATTTTCCTTCTGTAACTTTAAAAGCTTTGAATTCTTCTCTATAAATATGTTTCTAAAAATAATGATGAAGATTAGGAATACATAGAACATTAAATACTCCAGTAACTTAAAAAAAAATCCTGCCTGTCTTCACTGGCATCTATATGTTTAGGAGCTGTTAAGACAATACTAACACAAGAAAGCTTCAGAACACACATGCTTGGTCCATTTAAGTAAATGTTTTAGGTAAGAATGAAGGAAGAACTTGTAACTCTAAGTTTATGTGATTGAAATTTCCTTATGGAATAATTTATGTAGCCTGAAATCACTAAAGTCTTGTTTAGAACTGTGCTTTCATTGGTTCTGTTTAAGCCTGTACTTTGATTTGATCTCTCAAACATTCAAATATTGTCATTCTTAGATTCAACGGGGAAATGTGGGCCTCCTCCCCCTATTGAAAATGGGGACATCACCTCCTTCCTCTTACGAGAATATGCACCATCATCATTAGTTGAATATCAGTGCCAGTCATTTTACCAACTGCAGGGCAACAAGAAAATAATATGTAGACATGGAGAGTGGTCAGAGCCACCAAAATGTTTACGTAAGTACCTCTTTCTCATAGATCATAGGAGATTCAGTTTCTTGATATGTATATTTTTCTGTTAATAAAGAACATTCCCAGATTAAAAGCAGTCTGTTGCTTAGTGCTTCACTGCCAAATATCAACATGTGAGGGAAACAAGATTAATGGATTCTTTTTATATAAAAATAGCTGACAAATATAATTATGCAACTTATTCTTTATTATTGTGTTTTCACTCACATGTATTGATGTCCATAAAACTTGGTGCCAGCATGATATTTCCATACCAATTGCCTCGGTTGATGTTCAGTTGTTTTGAAAAGACCCCATGACCCTAGCAAATCTTGTAAAAGAAAGCATTTAAGCAGGGATTGCTTACAGTGTCAGAGGTTAGTTCATTATCATGATGTGGGGGGAGCACGGCAGCACATAAGCAGACTTTGTGTTGGGGAAATAGCTGAGAGTTCTCTGACTCTAAAGTCAGCAGGATGCTATAGACAACCCAGAGACACATTTCTAACAAGGCTACACCTTCTCCACCAAAGCCATAGCCCAGTCCTACTCAAGTGGTACCACTTCCTGATAAATAAGCAACATATAAATAAGTGGAGGCGGCTGTAGTTAGGGTTTCTATTGCTGTGATGAGACAACATTATCAAAAACAAGTTGGGTAGTAAAGAGTTTTATTTGTCTTTTGCTTCTATATTTCTACTTATTATCAAAGGAAGTGAGCAGAGGAAATCAAACAGAACAGGATCCTGGAGGCAGGAGCTGATGTAGAGGCCATGGAGGGGTGCTGCTTACTGGCTTACTTTTTACGGCTTGTTAAGCCTGCCTTTTTATAGACTCTAGGACTGCCAGGACTGCCATGGACTGGTCCCTTCCACACTGATCACTAACTGAGAAAAAGCCTTACAGCTGGATGTTATGGAGGCATTTCCTCAATTGAAATTCCTTCCTCTCTGATGACTCCAGCTTGTGTCAAGTATCTGTTTGACACAGAAAACCATTCAATACAGGGGCCACTCTTCTACATATACCACACCTGTATAGACCTTGCAGTTATTAAGTCCATGTGCCTCATAGAAGCTCCCCTTCCCTATGATAAATGATCTAACTTCTACTAATCACTGTCAGGCAGTCTAGAGGAATTTTAGTTTTTCTTCCATTGTGTGAGAAAGAACATGAAGGACTTGTATTCTTGTGTTTTGCTCACTTCACTTAAAGTCCTTCAATTCCCTTTTCTAACTAAAATAATAAAAAATTATTGATAATGTCCAAACCATATTTGACATACAAATATACTATGTTATCTTTATAACTTCATCAATTGGTGGGGACCCAGACAGTTATCCCATCATAGTTGACATAGCAATGTGCAATAAACATATAAATACAAGTTGAGTAGGTTGGTTACTTTTCTTCTGGGTTCATATCAAAAGAGGGATACCACAACAGTATATGGAATCTCATATTATTGTCTGTAGTAACTACTCAAACTCATATTCCCATTAGTAGATTTCAAGTTTCTTTTGTTCCATTTGTATTTTTGAGATAGGAAACAACTATAAAACCCTGACAACAATTAATTCAACATTTTCTCCAATTCTATAGGCTATCACTGCTTTATTATATTGATTATGTTCTCTGCTATATACAAGCATTTCATTGTGATAACCTCCATTTATGAAGGTTTGTTTTTTGCCTTGTGATTTGGGATCCCATCTAAATATTAAGTGTCCAAACCCAATGAGGAGTTTTTCTGTTGGTTTCCTTGTAGTTTACCATCTTGTTCTTACATTTATGTCTTTAATCAACTTTGGGTTGATTTTTGCCTAGAAGGAGATATAGGATTCAATTTTTAATTCTCTCCATATGGATATTGATTATTCTTGTATCATTTATTGAATATACTATCAGTTTTCCAACATATGTTGGAAACTGTTCAATTTTTCAAATCTCTTTTCTCATTCACTTGATTGTTGATCCCAGTGTCATATTGTTCTGGCTATTGAGGGGTTCCTGGTGTATATTGAAATAAGGTATTATGATATCTTCTGGATTTTTCTTTTCTTTCAAGTTTTAGTTGTCTACACATTTTATTGTACATCCATTGAAGTTTTGGGGTCCCCCATCCATTTGTATGAAAATGGTATTGGTGTTTCAATGGTGTTTCATGGAGTATAATAATTGGCAATTGAATTATGTACATTTTAATATTAATACTGATATTGATTTTTCTAAAAATTTAACATACAAGATTTTTCCATTTTGTCTTTTATGGTTTTTTCACCAGTTAACCAATAGTCATGGATAAATTCTTGCACTTCAGTTGTTAAGTTCATTGCTAGATTAAGTTTTTGATGTTAATGATAAT